TTAGGATATTACAAATTACTATCAGGTGGATAATTAAAGTGACATTAAACCCTCAGATTTTTTTAACATAAAGAATACTATAATGTGTGCCTTACTGTAATCCATGGTTGTTTCCCATCTCTTTGCTGCTCTTCCTTTTAAATCTGTATCTGTTCTCATGCTCTGCAGAACTTCTGTTTTGCAGCAGACTGCCTTGTCTCAGGAATGGATACACGGTGTCTGTGTATAGGTTTGTATAGGCTTGTAACCTGAGCCAGCACTACAGGAAGAGGCCCTGAGCTGAAAAGGGAAGTTCTCCCCAAGCATGAGAAGACATGAGGATTTAAAAGTAAGAGCAGCAAAGAGAAGGGAAACAACCATGGATTACAGTAAGGCACACATTACAGTATTGGTTTATGTTAAAAAATCTGAGGGTTTAATGTCACTTTAAGTAACAACTGCCGAGTCCACCTACAAACATGCCCTTATTCTTAGGACTCTTGTAAAATAGTCCTGGCAGTTTACTATTGCTTAAAAAATTGTATTCTGCCTCATTACGTTATACAAAGCAGTTGAGATTAAGAGCCTTTTTCTTTGCATTGGTAACATTGTTTATTGTGCTGTGTTCTCCCACTCCACTGTAGAAGGTTTTTCTTCCAAAGATTATAGTAAATTACCAAAAAAAAAAGTATCGGCGGGGATTTTGCAGTCTAACATATTGATAATGATAAGTTATACATGAGAACTCTGTATAGCTGCTTTTGTTTCCATGGAGACCCAGGCTTTTTCCTCTGAGCAGCATCATGAGCTTGTGTTCTCGGCTGCCACTGGGATTTTACTGTAAAGAAAACTATTTTGGAACAACCAAAAAAACAAAACAGTGAAGTGACTAATGTTGACTTGTTTCTTCCCGAAAACCAGTATTGCTTTTCTGACATGCATACTTTTTCTTCTTGCCTTTTTAATATAGTTAAGTGAATGCTTACCTTCACGGTACAATTTTTTTTACAAGCAGCGAGCTAAGCTGTGAATCTCTTGTGATATATGGTTGAAAAACTAAGTATGGTTGAATAACTAAGATGAGCATAATGAGCATTTAGAAGCAGAGGTCAAAGAGCGCTTTCAGAATGTTTCACAATTTCTATTGTTTGACTGTACAATCTGTGCAGAATAGAAGCAGTAGAAGGGAAAATAATTTTCATGGGGAGTACAGCTCCTGTGAACTGCTACAGGTGCTCAGCAGTTTTTGTATGTTTCATCAACATACATACAAACTATTGCTCTTCATGGCCTACATTTATTGTTTAGTTCTCTGACTTCCTTATTAGCTGTTTTTTAGACCAGTTGTACTGTTTTAAAGTGAAGATTTTATAAGTCTACTGCAGCAGCTGTTGCCTTTATAAGTACAAAGTGCTTAGCACAGTCATATTCACACAGATGATGTCCTGTTCCTTCTTTTACTAATTTGAAAAGGGGACATCTGTCATTAAGTTAAACCTGTTGTTGCAAAGCTGCCATACAGTGCTTTGCATAAGTATTCATCCCCTCACCATGTTTTCCATGTTTTAAATTTTTGAAAGCTGAATTAAAAATGGACTAACATTTTTGCAAGGGGCATGAAGCACGAGATAATACCATCAAGACAATCCTGCTTATGCAACATGCCCAAACTTCAAAAATTTCTATGGACTTTTTGTCAGTTGATGCCGACAAGGCATTTGATCCCCTGATTTGGCGTTTCCTCAAACACACACTGCTACAGGTGGGTATACTCCCTAATATATTATGGCACTGTACTCTTGCCCGTCAGCTCGCGTTCAGGTATTAAGATCTCCAATGGCACTTGTCAAGTGTGTCTGTTGTCTCCTATCCTGTATGTGCTCACTATGGAGCATTGCTTTGAGATAAAATCCAGCTATACAGGGCTTATTTGTAGGCCCTCACCAGGTTAAGTTGGCTCTGTTTGCTGACGACTTGTTAATTTACGTACTTTACCTCATATTGCCATGCCTTCTATCCTCCAAGAGTTTACTAGTTTTGTATCTGTTTCGTATCTGTTCTACCTCCATGAAGTACCTAGGAATCTACCTTTCCTCTGACTCGACTTGTCTTTACTTAATTATAAGCCTCTGCTTACAAAAACTGCTCAGGATCTTACCACCTATGACCGTAAGACTATATCCTGGTTGGGTAGGATTAATGTGCTCAAAACGGATGTGGTGCCCAGGTTCCTTTACCTCTTTCAAGCGCTACCCCTTGTACCGCCTTCTCTTTATTTGAGAAAGCTGCAGCAGGTCTTCACAAAGTTTATTTGAGGCTCGTTATGCCCCCGTGTTAACTATAAGTCTCTGTCCTTACCTAAGTGCAGGGGTGGAGCAAGTGCACTAGACATTCATTTTATCATACAGCCTCGGTTTTGGTACACATTACAAATTGGTTTAATTGGGCCAAAGATAAACAGTGGGTTCGGTTGGAAGAGATCGTTGCAGACTCTGACCTTCAAGCCTTACCTTGGGTTCCTCCTATTTCCTGCTCTATGTCCTCTTCCCTTCCCGCTTTGAGTGTACACACCTTGCATCTTTGGGATCGCTTTGTTTCCAAATATGGCATTTCCATGATTCATCGGCCCCATGACTCCGCTTTGTAACAATCCATCTTTTGCCCCGGCGATGCATAGATCGTCTTTTGGGAGGTGGACCAGAGACTTCCACAGACTCTTGACTGGTTATAGGTCCCTCCTCTTTGAGCAGTCATTCTACCGTCTGTGAATCTTGGCTAGCCGGTAGACAGTTTCATTCAATCGTCTCTTCATTCCCTTGACTGGAGTGCCTGGAAGCAGAGCCTATGGACCTTAATTCCCTCCTTTTACAATCTTCTCCTCCGTCCTGCACCATCTCCTTACTTTATTCTATCCTCTCCTCTATATCCTTTCCAGCCTTGCTACGGTACTCTTCAGTTTTGAAGCCAGAATTGGGAATATCCATCAGTGCCAAGGACTGAAAGAAATCCTTTATACTCTCCCATGCTCTTTCTATTGCTAGTAAGGCCCTTGAAAAGAATCTGAAGATCCTTACCAGGTGGTACTGGTGTCCCGCAGTTCTCCATTGTTTCTACCATGCTGTGCCAGATTCTTGCTGGAGTTGTCAGGATTCCCAGGGACATATAACTCACATATGGTGGAGTTTTCCTCCCATTATGGAATTTTGGCAGAAGGTTTTGGATGTCTATCACAGAGTGACAGGTTTTGAGATCTGTAATGACCCCAAGATTGTATTGCTGTCATTGATACCTGGTTCTCTGAAATCAGTAAAGAGAGGCCTCTTATGGCGGTGGAGGATGGCGACCTTGGCACCCAGGACTCTCAGGCCCCGTTCACATTGATCGATTTATCGCGCGGTAATTCCCGCGATATCGCGGCAAATTACCGCGCGATATCGCTCTCCAATGCTTCTCAATGGGGCAAAGGGTCCTGCTGTCGCGGGTCGTGTGTCGCTACAGCAGGACCCTTTTTGGAGCGGATTTTGCCGCGATTCAAATGCTTTCAATTAAAGCATTTGCGCGATATCGCGCGGCAAATCTCGCAATATCGTGCAAAATGCAAATCGCGCGACAAACGCGCGATTTGCATATCACGGAGTGTGAATGGGGCCTCAGCCAAAGGGGCTGAGAGGGTCCAGAAAGTAAAGCATGTTATAAGGAAGAACCTGGCTTTTCAGGTTCTTCCAGGTTTTCCTAAACGTAGCTGGGATCTGGAGCTCTGGAGATTTCGTAGAGCTCTGGGTGGGATGAGATCTCCAGTCCTGGGGCCAGGTGTTGCCAATGACCAGCTTGGGCTGATCAGATGGCTGAGAGCAGCCTTATTAGGAAGCCAGCCCAGTGCTCAGAGGAGTGTTGGAGTTGTGTGTGCAGGGAGCACACGGACACAGACCACCTCGGGTGCGTGCTGGATGCACATGGAACAGCCAGGGGTGGCTGGGAGCGGTCAGGAAGGTCGGTGACCCGAGGACCTGTGGTACAGACTGCTAAGAAAGCAGAGTGAGTGCCCACGAGGGGAGAGGTCAGGAAGGTCGGTTACCCTATACCTGCGGTACAGACTGCTAAGAGAGCAGAGTGAGGGCTCACGAGGGGTGAGCAGTGTGAGAGTCTTGAAGCTGTGGAAAGCTACAGAGCCATATAAAGGACTGTTTTATGTTGCTGCTGCAAGTTATTTTGTGTTTGCCCTTTAATAAACTGCATTTTACTTGACTTACCTGGACTACAGTGGAGTGTTCTTGTTACAATATATATTCATTCAAAGTTCTTTTACTCACAGTGATGAAACAAAGATGCTTCTCCTCAAAATTAGGCTGCAGTTTATGAGTGAGATATTTGTGGTTTGATTTTTTAAATAATGTATGAAGTATGGTTTATTTCCAGGTGTCCTCAGTCCAGATCCCCTGTAGAAGAATTAGGCAACATAGTTCATTTACAAATTTCCCCAGTCCGGATCCCCAGTTGAAGATTTAGACTAGATTTAGACTAGATTGTAGCATGATTCCTTAAATAACTAATGTAATCATTCTTGCCGTCGTGCTTAGTATTATATTTGATTATGTAAATATTTATAGCCATTACAAGGCAAGAGGAAAAGGATGCCACTTTGAAAACTGAACTAGACACTTGTTTCTCAACCGTTTGCCAGTGCTGTACAGCCTAAAACAATGGAAATAAGTGTATGGTATTGCAGGTTTACACATATTTTCTTTATATATAACTAAAATATACATTTTAGTAGTAAATACCAAATTAAAACCTTACGTGTCCTGTTAAAACTTTGAAAAACTTAAACAGAGCAGTTAAAAATATATTGCTAACTAAACAGATGTATACCAAAATTTCAAATCGAGATCTGGTCATGTAGACTTAAAAGGTTTAACCTTGCTAAGACTGAAAGAATTTTGTATGCAATCATAAATGTAAGTTTAAAAAGGGACAATAAAGAGGTTTATTAGTTTTAATTAAATTGATTTTATGTTTTGCAGAAGCCAGCAAACATCCTTGTAATGGGGGAAGGTCCTGAGAGAGGAAGAGTCAAAATAGGTAAAAAAATATAAATAAAAGGCATAAATGCGTGTGGTTCCCAATACATGAATATGTACCGTATGATCAGAAATAAACAGCTGTTTATGTTAAGGATACACTTTAAAGGACCAGTGAAACTAAAACTAAACACTTCATGTTAAAAGAGCAAATAAATCATTCCTAAATGTGTGCATAAAAGTACCCATTCCTACACAGGAAATTAGATCTTTAATATTTCTTACCTTGCTTTTCTGTAGAAAGGGAAAGCTTCACATTCACTAAACAATTTTCATAACTATATCATTGCTACACAATCAATTTTCTAACTTTATCTTATTAGACCTTACCTTTCATTTCAATCTGCACATGCTGTAATCACAACCTGGAGGTATGTACAGAATTCCCCAAGAAATCTCACTTCTTGATTGTGTAATTGAATCACTGCTTTTGACTAGGGATGCACCGATACTTTTCAGATACCAGTACCGATACTTGGCATTTTCATGAGAACTACCAGGGTTGCATCTGGGGACTACCTCTGGCGCTCCACCACTGTCCTGAAATCATTAGTCTGTATTGTTTTAGAAAAACTGTCACATGACAATAAACAAAAATGTATCAGTACTTGTACTTGTAAGTACTTGGGCAAGTATCAGTACTTGTACTTGCAAAAATGGTATCGGTGCATCCCTTATATATATGTTTATAAAAACAAAATCATACATTAAAACAGAGATGTACAAATCCCAGGAGCTCCGTGTGCTCCTTACAAATGACAGCTGCCTCCTAACTTTGGAATTTTTCTCTAGTTTAGTCTTGGAGCTGGAAAAGTATCGGTACATGTACTTGTACTTGTACCGAGTACGGTACTTGGTATCGGTGCATCCCTACTTTTGACAGCAGCCTGCACTGAGATACTGAGGGTGTTTACTACAGGAACAGAGGCTGTTCATGTATGTCCACTTTGCAACGTGAATGTTAGTGAGTATGGTAAAGCTGTGTTTCCATTTTGGTTTTTTTTTGGTTTTTTATTTTGGTCCCATATTATCAAGTATTCAAAATGAACACATCATCACCTTATTCATCAGCATAGTCTTGCTCGGTAAACAGCCTTTATTTCTTTATGATCAACCACTCTCATTTCAAACATCGCCTGCAATCTGATTTTAACTCTTGGTTACATACTCTCTCATCCACTTCTGAAGGGACATGGACACTGCTGCTGTACACTCTACAGCACTGATATTGTTCTTGTGGTTATAATGCACCCTGACCCTCCTAATTAGGAACCAAACCAGTTTGGGAAAGGCCATAAAAAAAAAAGCAATTTC